TAGATCATAATATATCCAAGTTTTTGTAAAATTTTATATATAAACATATGGATTTTTAAATTTTTTTTATATAGTCTAGGGGGGTCAAGAGCTACTATGTAGGGGTATATAACATTATATATAGATGCTCCCTTACTTCTAGAGAATGTACAGATATCAGTTAAAATAGAAGAATTAGATATATCTAGTGTTGAAAATCTTATATTCTCATAAGAACATGAGAACATATCATTAAATTTGAGAACATTTGATATTCTGTAAATGTTCTCTATGAAAAAAATTTTGAGAACATAATACTTGAAAAATATGTTCTCTATAATAGTATAATTCTAGATAGAAATATAATTATCTATCAAACAAAGTTCTGAAATTATCTGAAAAGAAAATGAATGAATATAGAAGGTGAAAAGGGTTGGGATAAAAATTTGAATAAATGACCGATATTTTCCAAATAAAAAATTAAAAAATAGAGATATGAAAATTTTTATTGTTTGAGAACGTAAAAAAATTTCTGAGAATATTGAATTAAATAAATTTGTTCTTATGAGAACATAAATCTCAAAACATATTTCTAACACTGGATATATAAATATTAATTTCATATGCTTTGTCTCAACAGTGCATGGCAGTGTTGGGTTGGGACAGGGACATGGACAACAGACAGTCTGGGATGGGACATCCCGGACATGTCTGCCAGAATGTTAACGTCCCAGACAATAAAATTACAATAAGGGCTGCTTTGTTAGCCAATCAGATCATTTAATTTGCCTTTGTATATAATGTGATATTAGACACCATCATAGATATAGGACATTGTCTGAGACATGATCATTGTCCGGGTCTGTCCATGTCCCTGCAATTTTAATAGGACAATGTCCGAACCCAACACTGGTGCACAGTAATATATATTAGGTATTATAAATAAAATTAATAAAAGCATCGGTTGTTTCTCTATTTGCTAAACAAAAATTTGCTCTTGCTAAAATACATAAAATATATGACTCATTAGAAATTGTAGAGCTTTATACTTTTGTAAATTAATTGGAAATAAAGATGAGTTTGTATTTCAAATTCTGAGCTTCATATTTGAGGCGCCTAAAAACATCTTACTCGTGCTTGGACAAATAAGTTTTCAGTAACTCTGTTACATCAACACTATAAGAATAATGTACCGAAATAGGCACGGACCTTTGTGGCACAGGTTAAGATCTGGATTTGTCAGGGTATGGTTCAGGTTGATACGGATTCGGTGGACCGTGAGAACTGTATTCCTGTGCCAATTGGACTATAAATAGCTCAGGTTTTGTATTAGTTTACTAATCAAATAAGCATGGGATTTTGGTACATAAATTCATGTGCCACCATGATAACATGTAGATTAATGATTAAAATATAAAATTTACATTAGTAATTAATATAATATGAACAAACTAAACTAACTGCATATGAAGTAAAATTTTGTAAGGAATCTATTTTGTCGAGATACTTCGAGCAGTTTTATCAGTGAAATAAAAAATTATTTATTAATATTTCGCTCTCCGTGAAATGAGCTAACACATATCACAACATATGTGTTATCTAGTGTTGACATGGACCGGTCAATGGTCAAGCTTGACCAGACCAGTTTGACCAATTTGACCGGTCCGGTCAAAGAGTTTAGTATTGGTCAAATTGGTTAAATGACATTTAAACATATAGTATATATATATATATAATATATATACTATTTTTATTTTATTAATAGACTAAGCCATTTGACCAATTTGACCAGACCACTTGACCAATTTGACCAGACCAGTTTGACTAGTGAATTTTTGGTCGACCAGTGATTTAACCAACACTGGTGTTATCTGAACGTGTTATTCTCTATGATGAGTATAACGTGTAACCCCTTGCCACAAGGTCCAAGGTGAAAGAAAAAATTTGCGATCAGGTGATCGTCGATATAGCCCAAAAACTTTATACAAAACTTTATATATTTTTTCAATAACCAAATATCAAATATATGTATTATATATTTCCGATTTTTGGTTTTTTAAAAATGCATAAATTTTGTATAAAGTTTTTGGGCTGTATCGAAGGGTTCGGAAACATAGTGATGCCACCACTTTGTCACCTCAATGTTCATACTGTCACAGGCTAAATAGTAGATCGATAAAATCAGCACAGTAAACTCTTGACAATTAACTATAGCTGCCGCAACAAATTTGGACTGGCAGATCCTCGATTTTAATTAACTAATGGCCGATGATTTTTAAAATTTTGGCCTACATTACAAAATTGTTTACTAAATTCTGGCCGGAATCAACTTTTTAATTTTTTCATTACAAAAATAGAAATTCTTAAAAAATAAGCCTGCATTATAGCAAAATTGACCCAGGAACAATTTTCACTTAATGAGCGGTTATGATTTCATTAGTAAAATTATGAGTAATTTTTTGATTGTTGCTCTTAGCCAATCAAAATTGAGAATCTGCCGGTCCAAATTGTTGCGGTAGCTATGGTTAATCTCATGACATTAAGCAGATCGACCATCAGAATTCCAGATCAACAATTATATGAGGCTTACTAGCTGAATAATAAAAATGATAACCTATGTGAAATCCGAAGAAGAATTTCTAGAAAAACAAACGAAGATTAAAAGAGAAGATCTTGAAGATAAGCGAAGCAAAGACTTCGATAAAAGAAACTTATTATAATTATTATTGTAAGCCCCTTAGTTATAGTGATTTTCTTCTTGATGCTTTAATAATAGAAGATATGATTTATCCCTCTTGAGATCGTTAGATAATGAAAGTTATAAAAACCTTGTAATTTCTCTCTTGTAATTAGATATCCTACAGGATTCTAATATTATTAATCTATAACATTAAATAAATCACCTTGATAATATTGTTTAATAAATCAAATTATTGACAAATCACCAACATCACATCTCTGGCGAGTTGCCTTATCATCTAAAAACTAATATATTAAAAGATACAATTTACCCCGTAACAATACCATTTTTACTATGCCATTCTGTAAAATATACCTGTGCATGCTACACAATCTGTGCCATTTCACACATTCCTGAAACAAACTCGTACCACAACCTGTACCACTTTTCTTATAGGATAATAGAGATTTTTATTAGGTACAAATTGTAGACAATGATAAGTACGATAATATATTTGGAGCTGCAAAAAAAAAATAAACTTTCAAAGGAGAGGGTATAGTTATTATCGAATTTCAAGCTTTAAAAAAAAGGTACAGTATAAAATAATTGCACATGTAAGAAAGGTTGTATGTACATAGTGAGGATATATGCCTAGTATTTACAATTTTCTAAATTACAACATAATGACAAGCTTTATATAATAAAAATTATAAATATTTCTTTGAATGTCACTATGATTTGATTATTTAATAAACTTTCTGTTGAGGTTTATTTTATCAGATTGATCCTTGTTATTTTTTTAGTGTACTTTTGATATTGAATGCACTTTAAGTAAATAATAATAATAAAAAGCATTATAGTCGTCCCTCTATATAGTTACCTCCTATATAGTCACTTTATTTTAAATACCCATTTTTATATTATTAAATAACCCTCTATAAAATCACAATCAACCTATAATCACTATCACATATATATTTATATTTATTAATTTTTTTAATAATAAAATTTCTTCTATATAGTCACAACTTATAATAGGTTACATATCATTTCACTAGTAATCAATTCACTGACATCTTATTTCACCAACAACAATTCATAGACAAGTTTATTTGACAAACAATTATTTCACTGACAGCTCATCTCACAACAAGTTTTTTAAAAATGCACTTTAATTATAAACTTGACACTAACGACAATGACCAGAATTATTTTGCCAGTGAATGACTTCGATGAAATAATTGTAGGTGAAATAAACTTGATGAATTGATTGTCGGTAAAATGACATGTCGGGGAAGTGATTGTCAGCGAAATGAGCACCACTGATTTACTAATTAGATCAATTTAATGTTAAAGGAATGAATTATACAAGATAAAAACTTGCAAGTTTTCACCTAAAAGGAATTTAAATTCCCATAATTGCTTGGTATTAAATATGTCAGTATCCGAATTGAATTTATCTACAAACTTTCATTTGGCGTCACTCAAATAACTCTCTAATAAGTATGAAACCTGTAAGTACAATTTTAGAAGTTCACTATACCAGACTTAAACTCCGGTTTGGTGAAAAATTTACATTGCACTTAACAAGTTTTTCCTTGGCTGCACTTATCTATAATTGCAAGATAAGTTCATATAAAAAAGCAAGGGGGAAAAATCCAATAATCAATGGCATACATACAAACCTGCATAAATTTGAGGCCTAAATCATTCCAATATCAATCACGTGAACTTGAGATCAATAAACCCATTATCTATTGAATTTGAGTGCCGCCAAGGGAAAATACGTAAATCTTATCTAATAAGAATTGCAGGTTTTTCTTTGGCGTATTCAACTAATTATCATTTTCAAAATTTCACTATAGACTCTGCAAACTGTGATATATGAACCAAATATTAAGGGGTTATAATAAATATTTTCAGCATCCGGTTGATGAAATTTTAATTACTAAGAGAAGTTCATATGTAAAGTACAGGAAAAAAAATACAAGCCTACATAAATTTGAGGCCTAAACCATTCTAATATCAATCGTGTGAACTTGAGATCACAACCCCATTATCTGTCATGCGAATTTGTAATCTAAATGAGTGCTGCCAAGGAAAACCCGCAAATCTTATCTAATAGGATTTGCAGGTTTTCTTTTGTCGGCACTCAAATCATTATTATCTTTTAAGGGAGTTATGATAGAAATCCGGTATGGCGAAAAATTTACAATGCATTTAACAGGTTTTTTCTTGGCTGCACTTATCTATAATTACAAAACATGTTTTTAAATATATAATATAATCATGAGAACTTGAGACCCAAACCCACTATCTACTATGCGAATTTGTAATCCAAATGAGTGTCACTAAGAAAAACCCAGATTTTCAGGTTTTTATTTGGCGGCACTCAAATCATTAACGTTTTTCAAATTATCAATCGATCGTAAGATTTACCAAACAGAGTATATAATTAAAGCTTGTTAATAACCAGAATATGAATTAATTATCAATAATATAAACCAGAAATAAGAATAGATAATTTAAAAAAGGTAAAAATTAAAAATTTCTAACTCCAATTTTACTTGGCGTTATTCATATATTTTCAAATAAAGAAATTTTATGATTGTATTTGCCATTAGAAAAATCTGTAAAATTTGTATACAGCACATTGTATTTAAATATAAAAGGAACCGTCAGTTCCATAAATCCTTTAGATAAAATTCAGGTGAATACTTTGCTTTATTATGTCGTCTAAAAATTTACCACAAAAAAGACAAAGAACGGCCGTTAGTGAATATTTAAAATGAGAAATATGTGAATATAGTCAAAATAATTCTAATCAGAGACAAATAGATATCGCGAACTATTTCAATTCTCAAGATCCCAATTTAAAATTAAATCGGTCTACGGTTTCTAAAATATTAAAAAATAAGTCAAAATAGCTAATGGTTACTGAAGGCTCTACAATAATTCGACATAAACAAGTGAAATATCCTCTATTGGATCAATCAATGAGAATCTGGGTTGAACAAGTTACTAACAGTGAAATATTTCTAACTGAATATTAATGATTAAAGAAAAGGCAGCAGATTTTGCAAAAGCTTTGAACCTGGATGAAGATGCTTTAAAATTTTCAAATAGATGGATTCATAAGTTTAAACAGCACAATAATTTTAGAAACGTTCGATTACATGGAGAAGCCAATAGTGCGCTGCTGTCTTTGCTTCCTGAATATAGAAAAAAATTGCATAAATTAATTGAAAACTATACGTTGGATAATGTATTTAATGCAGATGAGACAGAGCTCTTTTTTCGTATAGTACCGGACCAAACACTTGCATCACGATCAAGACCTGTATTTAAAAAGGCTAGTAATTATAAGTTAGTCCATCCGAATTGATTCTTTGTTTAACATAACTGTAATTTGATAAGTTAATGTAATGCTTCATATATATAATTAAAAAAAATAAGAAAAATTATGTAAAACAGAGAATTAAATTATAATTAAATTTAATATTGTTGTTGCTCATTTTCCTGATGGTCACTTCGCCGACAGATTATTTATCTAGTATCATATAGGGTTAGAGTCAATATTTTTAGGTGTAGGTATATATTTTTAGTAAATTATTACCTTCCGTGATATTAGAAAAATGGCTCGTCAGTAAAGTAACCACCAGGAAAATTAGATGTAACCATTTAACATATTTTAAATAATTAATTTTTGTATGATAATTAGGATCGTTTACAGATTACTATTATGTTAGCATGCAATACAAGTGGAACAGAAAAAATTAAAACCTTTAGTAATTGGGTCTTCAATTTCTCCTCATATACTTCATAATGTTAATTATGATTCATTACCTGTTTTTTACCGTGCAAATTCGTGGGCATGGATGTGAAATGACATATTTTCTGAATGGTTAATAAATTTGGATCAGAGGTTTTGTATTCAGAATCACCAAGTTTTGTTATTAATAGATAATGCCTCATCATATTTTCATGCCCAATCTAATATTTGTGAATTAAATAAATCAAATGAATCAAATTCTGATTTAGATGAAGAAACATCTAATAATTCAGAACCCGAGGTGACAGCTGTTTTGCATGGAAATCGTCGAGGTCGAGGTTGACCAAGATTAACCAGAGCCAATCAGGGTGCAAGTACTAGTCGTAGTAATCGTGATAACCATAGTAAACGTGGTAAACATAGTACTGGTGGAAGTAAAGGCCGTTATGGTAGTGGTTATGGTCAACCACGTAATATTTCTGATTATTCAAATGTATGATTAACTAATATTAAACTTGAATTTTTACCCCCTAATACTACTGCTTACCTTCAACCCATGGACGCGGGTATTATTAAAAGTTTCAAATCCAAATATAAGCAAAAATACATTTGTCACATATTAATGCAGCTTGGAAACAATGAAGATTTAAAAAAGTTAAGAACTTACCCTGATAAATTTAAAAATCTACTGTGCTGAATGACACGATTTGAATGCCACTCACACTGCTATCCGAACTACCATTAATCATGTGATAGTGTTAAATGGTAGTTCGAATAGCAGTTTGAGTGGCATTCGAATTGTGCCATACAACTCTGTGAATTTTAAATTTTACCAATGTTATTCTTTAATTATATAATAATTTTCAATACTAATTATATTTTAATTTTAATTAAAAAAAATTAACCATTAAGGATGCTATTTACTACGTATCTGAGTCTTGGGATGCTGTTGAAGATACAGTTATCATTAATTGTTGGGTGAAGACTGGAATTTTGCCATCAGTTCCCCATGAAGAAATAGAATCTGCCACCAATAATCGAGATGTGCTGTTGGAATAGCAAGAAGAGGATATCAATGAATTGGTAATAGATTTGACCACTCAGGACCCGGACCCGGAAATAGAAAGCCAATTAAATACATATTTAGGCCTTAATGATTTGCATATCATAACTGAAGAAAAGCTTGAGGATTTAGAGATTATTGAAATTGTTTTAGATGAAGCAAATTAACACGATAATGGAGATCCTGATGACTCAGATTAAGAACAACTAGAAATTCCTATTTTAGAAGAGCTAAGGGGTTTAAATAAATTTATTGGTTTTTTTGAACAACAAATTGATGAAGAGTTTAAAGCTAAAGACCTTAAAATTTTTCGAAAATACTTAGCTTTGGTAAACAGAAAATATGTTGTATCTAAGCACCAAACGTCTATTAGTAAGTTTTTTACTCCATTAAATAATGAGGAAGGTTATGATGCCACGTTGTGATAGGATTTTTTTTGTCTTTTATACATACATTTTATAGTATGCATATATTTTATCAATATTTTAGTTATTCTCATTAACATTAAGAGAAAAATTGTAGTAACTTGCGTGATAATTAGATACATAGTCCTCAATATAAATATTCTCAAGAATAAAAAGTTTTCGGTGTGTTTGGTAAGTCCATCATACTGAAAGTGAACATCCCAATTATAAAGTCGTTTAATTTTAGAGCGAATTTGTATTAGCCTAATAAAGCAATTGAACAAATAAAATAGCAGTCTTTTGTGGTTATCAAATCGTTGTAACTGACCTGACAAAGGGAGAGAATGAAGTACCGCAGTAAATTCAAGTGAGAAAAGTCTGATTAGAAATTCGTCATTGAGATCCACGTGAGTGTAACTTTGAAAACCTACAGATAGTTTTTATAGACAGTATCACAGTCAGAGATATGTAATTTTATTAGTGTTATTTAAATGAACTATCTCAGCATGTTTCGAATCCCGGAGTAACATATTTATGATCAAGTCAAGAGCCTTAGTTGAAACTAGCGATGTTGCTCAAACTATTTGGAACATCCCAAACTATGTTATGAATAAGATTACATTAGGTCTTATTGTTACATATTTCTGAAACCGTGTAACACTATTCATCACATGGTTTGGAACGTCCCAAATGGTTTGGGTAATATCACTAGTTGAAACCTTGACGCATCTAAGAAGCAAGAAATAATTGCATAGTTATATAAGCAGTGCGCCAAAGTTTGTTGTAGATAACTAATTCCGAGCACTGCTGCTACAATAGTATACGTATATGTACAAAAAAAAAAACCTTAATTATATAATATGGTATGTATAATATTTACCTCTATTAAATCATATTAATTATTTTTAATATAATGTGTGCTTATATAGAGGTAACCTTTATAAAGTCACACCTCTTTATAATCACCTAGTTGGTACATACCCAACTGTGTGACTATAGGGAGGACAACTGTATCAGAATTTTAGATATGACATCCAATACAAATTTCGCTTTTTTTTTTTTGCTTTTCATTTTATAAAATTTTTATGTGGTTCATGTAATTATTGAAAGAGAATTTTAATAGTGCATCTCAATTAATATATTTTATAAGACCTAATGGTATAAGTGAATCGACGTAAATTAGTTATGATAAATTGTAGTAAAATTACAACTTTTTTTATATTGGTGTAGGTTGTAGCAATGGTTGTATCAGAAATGTTATAACATAGATTGTAACTCTAGTAGTAATATATTATTAAACAGATCAAAATAAACTGTGCTTAAATGAAATAAATACTTGTTCTAATTTTGATAAAATTAGGTTATTTTATATACAAAATCCTAATAAAGGCAACAAATGAGAAAGTTAGTAGAAAATGGAACAAATCTTTATAAGTAAAAAATTCTAAAATTTTAAATTCCTTAACAATTAAACTACCAAACTAAATTTAATAAAAAATGGTTTAATTATAGATTATTATAAAATTAAATAAAAAATTTTATTAAATTTGGTTAATAGCTGTTGAGTTATTTTAGATTAAAAAACTAAAACATTTGTCTTATTTCTATTTACTCCCTCAAATATTATAAACAGAAAAACAGCGATATTTTGTAGCAGGAGAAATGTTTGAAATTCAGTTTCAAATACTGTTCTCATGAGAGCAGTATAGGGTTCCTAGGTTCAGTTCAGTTCAAATTTAGGTTCAATGAACCTGAACTGAACCTGAACCTGAACCACAAAT